GGAGGATAGTCTGTACTCTATTTTATACTAAAAGAACAACATTTCAGTTTATTTTTTCTCTTCTTCTATTAATATGGTTAATAAGTTATAACTGCACCATTGTGATGCATCATAGCAATGTCTAAGATGTGATTTATTCCACAACAATTTAATGTGATGAGAATACTACATACAGTCTAGTCCAACTACTCAACTCTGTATTGCAGAATGAAAGTAATTATTTACAACAAAGAAGCAAATGTCAGCACTATCCTCCAATAAAAATCAAAACTTGAATTTCCATATCAAAATTGTTTATTTAGTTATTTCAATTATTCAAAATGGAATAGACCACAAGCTAGGTGGGCAAGTCTGAACTGTAATTTGGCAATCTCTACTTTAACTGAGTTCAACTTGAACTAAAGCAGAGAACAAGAATCAGAGACATGACCATTACCTCTGGAATAAAAAAAAAATTCTACTATATACCTAACTTTTTCTAAAAATGGATAAAATTACAGGATAATCTCTCATAAGACTATTTTTGTTTTTGTTTGTTTGGGTTTGAGACAGGGTCTCCTTGTAGTCACAGCTGGCCTGGAAGTTTGTAGCCTACCAGGCTGGGCTCAATCTCAGAGATCCACCTGCCTCTGCCTCCCAAGTGCTGGACTAAAGGTGCATTTCACCACACCTAGCTTTCATAAGACTATTTTAAGTATACATACAAATGTCTATTCAAAGGAATTGGTAAATTTTTTAAAAGACCCCTGAAATAAATTTTAAAGCAAAAAATATTTTATATAATACCAAATTCAAAGTTGCCTTTTTATAAGTTCAAAAAATATTCATACATGTAAGTTCCTTAAATTAGCAGTACTGAGGACTCCTGAAATAAGTTTTCATATCTTTTACTATTTGGTTATTCCTGTAAGTCAGGCAGCATATTTATTTTAAACTTCTTACTATCTTTTCACCATCTATTCGAACATTAAATCATTTAAAACAATAAAACAATTTCACTAATCTGATAGAATGTTATCAATATTCTTAAAAACCTGAGCAAATATTATACTTAATGTACTAAAAGCTTGTACACTGAAGTCAGAAAGTAGGCAAAAAAATACATATTTCTATTTCAAATCAATACTGTATTGTCTTTCTTAATCTACTTAAGGAATAAAAATAAAAGATTGGAAAACAAGAACAGGACTTTGCAGTTTTATATACTTCCACAAACAGTTGTGCTTAATACTAATAGCAGTCCTACCAAACCAAACATTTCTATTCCCAGTTTACATAGAAACTGAGTTTAGAGAACATGCTGGAAAGACTTAAAAAAAAAAAAACAACTACAACAGTGTAGCTTGAGCAACAAAAACAAAAAATAGAACCACCATATGACCTAGCTATACCACTCCTGGACATATACACAAAGGACTCTGTATCCTACCACAGATATTGACACACCCATATTTATTGCTACACTAGTCCCAATAGTAGGAAATGGACCCACCTAGAACCTATCAACAGAAGAATGGATAATGAAAGTGATATATATGTATGCATATGTATGTATACATATACAAATAAAATGAAATTTTACTCAGCTGCTAAGAAAAATAAAATTATGAAATTTTCAAGGAAATAGATGGATCTGGAAAGAATCACATTAATGAGGT